TAGGCTTATCGATAGTCCGGCGTGTTGGACCCTCCTTTGTTTGAGATAAATTTCCCTCGGTGAGTTTGGAGGTCTCAAGCTCAAGTATCTTGCTGCTGATCGAATTATAGGCTCCCTTGACGATATTTAGGCATCTTATTTCGTTACTTCGGAGTGGCTTAATTACTATTTCGGGTATTTTGCCTGCCATTCCTGGCTCGGCCCAAATGGAGGATCCGTAGGTAACAACTGGTCTCACCACAGCGTGGTACACAAGTTTTGCCTTTTGAAACGCTGCACTCCAAGTTGACTGTGCCAATCTACCTAAGCCTTGTATCTGTGGTTCGACCTTGAGCTGTCTGCTTTTGATGTGAGCACCCCAATTGAACTTAGGGTCGAGGCAGTTTCCTAGAACACGGAGGGAAGGTTGCGGCTTCGCGAGATGGCCTTGGATCTGGACTGTGGCCTGCATGTTGTGCCTCTTTCTAGCTCTTGAGAAGTACATAAGCTGGTACTTCTCCGGGGCAAATTTCACTCCATGTCGATCGGCCCAATTTTCACAAATCTCATGAAGCCTCTCGAGATTTCGACAATTTTCTTCTGTAGAGTCGGACCAGGTCAGTGTATTAGTATCGTCCACGAATGCCACTGCCGTCGAATATAACGACTGAAGTTCGGGAAGAAGCGTGCTGACAAAGAACAAGAAGATAATCGGCGAAAGAGAAGAGCCCTGTGGAATCCCAGTATTAGTAGACAACTGGTCTCCTTTGAATGAACCAAGGCTCAACATTGTAGTTCTGTCCTTGAGAAGTGACTCGATGTTCAGTGTGATCCATCTTGGTAAACCTTTAACCTCCATTTTGTGAATGAATCTCTCGTGAGACACATTATCAGAAGTTCCAGATATATCTAGGCTTAGGAGAGAAGCAACTTTCCTTTTATTCATATCCCACATGTGATGGGCGATCAACAAAACAATATAGTAAAGGAATGGTGGCCGATTACTGTCTATTTTCTACATACATCTCGGAACTGTCCACCGAGGGGATGCTACTTAAGGTGTCCTAACTCCCAATGCGCTAACCTCACTATCTATTCTACTACATCATATCCTTGATATTCCGAGTGGGCTCGTCATAGCGAATCTGGGTCGTATCGGCCCATGATTCCATATGAGACTTGCTGCAACAATATCTTGTTTCCATATTTGTTGCAACCCTGTATTTGTATGGCCAAGTTGGACATCTCTCTAGATAGCAAGGCTAATGACGTAATAATGATAAGTGTCCGTGCGACAGTCACTAGGAGATAGGCGCAGCCTGTAACACCACATGGTATTTACTTGTCCCATGAGAAGCTCAATTGCAGAAATTAATCCCACATACATTGTATTATAATTTGTCACGTTTACCTCAGCCTTTATGCACACTGGGCTAGACACTTGTATATACAAGACACACCCTGTAAATTTAGAAGGGGTGCCATACACCGTACTGATATTTCACTATATAGAAGATATAGCAGAAATCCCGAGACAACTTTGACCTACGATTCCCGTACATTCACAGATTACTCATTGTACCATCCTAGGAACTAAGAGCATCAACGCATCCCTATCGTACTGGCGTAGACAGTTTAACCCCAAAGGATTAATTCCCTAACAAAAAAAGGGATCGAGCGTGTTGTAGACGATGCTGGAGCCGAGGATAATGAGGTGCCACGGCATGAGAAGGTAGGTTTTCTCAACGATCGCAATTAGCATGATTCAAAACATTAATAAAACCTTTGCGAGTCTTTGCAATCATGTTGGACGAGGTCAATTACAATTCAGATGATACTCGACCTCATAAAATCCAGTCTTACTCGCTTTTAAGCTTTGTAAACAGGTAGTAGGTGTCATGTCTGTATTACGCGACACAATGAAAATTTATTTAAAGTAGGGTTGAGATCTTGTAGATAACCTTTATATTTCTTCGCCGTTGAATCTTAAGCTTGTTGTGATAGAAACCGAGTTAGTGGTGACTAAACAGATTTAATAAACTCGGCGATGAAAAAGAAATCTGACTACAACTACAAGGTACTTATAACATTCGGTCAACTCTGTGAATCTTGTTGCTTGTGCTTTTTCCTTTGATAGAATACTTACCGCACGGCCAAGCGTTGTCCGTATTCACTGTGCTGTGACATTGCTTCAATCCGTTGGCTACTAGTTTTCGGGGGCGGTGGGGATACCTGCGACCTGGCAGTGACAAGCCAACAGCCTAGGCGGTTAGGCTAGTTATAAAAGATTGTTATCGAGGCTAAGGCCCGTAGTGGTTGAGGCAGAAGGACAGAAGGAAAACGGTCTTTGTCTTTCTTTTGTAATGCAGGATTTTGTGTGCAAGTTTTCGTTTGTTTTTCTGGGCTGCCGGACTCGTCATGATTCAACACATGGATGGGAATCGGCATTATTGAGGATCCAAGTTTGACAGACCTCTAGATTTGTACGAGGCTCTCATAAATTGTAATGCTTGTGTAGTGTTGTTCACATTGGAGTCCGGGCACAAGATAAGGAATACTGTACTTATATAGACGATACCCTGTCTTAATAGAAAACCAAGTTACATCTATTCTTAAGCTCTACTATACATATTGGTAGGTTGGAGCCAAGAGACACCCGTAACCTACGCCATCTTAAAGCTAAGCTTATCTCACTTTTCACACATACTAATCCATCTGGAACTTCATGGTCCCGGTCTTATTTTTTATTTTTTTAAATAATTTAATGTGTATTCAGCTATGGAGCCATGACACATGACTGGTGCTATGTATACATGTTGGATGACTCTTTTGACGTTAGAGACACTCATACTCTGGATTTCATTCGCAAATACCACTATGAGGTATGCTTGCTTACACAAACAGTCGACCCTCCTCCGTAAGTACCCACCAAAGGGATGTTTCATAACCTTTGATTATTCAAGCATGCCTTCGTCATCCATGCATACCAGCGCCGCGAGAAAAGTGGTTGTGTTTTGCCGGATTTGAACCAGCGATCTACTGTCTCGAGTGGGATATGTGTCCAAGCTATTCAGACTCTACTTGGCAGACCGGCCAAGACGATGTACCACCGCACCATCCAACCGTGGCGTCGTTTATAGTGTCGCCTGCACTCTCGCAACCGAAGCCTTGGCACGCACAAAGCTCAATTTGTAAAAACTCCTTGCCAAAATTCAAAATTCCACGCCCGTCGAGACTGTATCCATCCTTCGCATCATCTTGTGAACTTGCCCTGAATCCTCTCACGTCCATCCCAAAGAACTGTCTCCCAGATTTGTGCGCCACGCTTTGCTTCCTACGTCGGGTATAAATATCGGCGTGGGCGTATATTTGGTGACCGGCTGAGGCCAAAGAAAATCGGCAAGAGGTGTGATCATTGGAATGAGGATGTACTAGGTCGTACTTGTAGACTTAATGAGGCTTAGGTAGGATTCGATCTTTTTTGGAATGAAAATTTGACGTGGTGGAGTTATTTGAATTACTGCCTCGTGGGCCAACTTGTTCAGTATTGCGAAATTTGACTGAACTTGGCTCTGGGAGAATATTTGATTCCCAGGTTCGTTGAGGACACCGAGTATAGGTGTTCAGTCTTGCCCTCCATGGTCCGGTCATTTAGGTGGGACGAAGCACTTGTACTGCTCGGTAATTAACCTGATCCGGCCCGGCCCCACTCGTGCTCAAGTTCTAGTAGGAGTGCGATGGGACTCATGTAACCTAGCACTTTAATGAACAAAGCGAACCAAGCCTTGGCTACTAGCGTTGTTTCTTTGAGATTTGTGTATCATTCACCGACAATATTATCATTATAGTCCCCAACAATGCGCTTTATTATTTACCTAAGCTTAAGCAACGTTTATACAAAAACACTGGTGTATTCAGTGTTATTCTTCTTCGACATCATAAAATTTGACAGAATTAATCAGAGTCGTTAAAACCATGGAAATAAATTTCCAATTGTCATGATTGTCGAAAATAGATCCTTATCGGAGGATAATTTGATTTGTTCGCATAATTCCAGCGCTTTATCAGCTATCATGTGGGCCTATTAATATTAAAGCCGAACTTTTTTATTGGGAGTTGATATTAACTGGTTTGAAACAAGACTAGTGATATTTAAAGAAACCAGGCTTGTGGCAAGCTTAATCTCACACATTGTTTCTAGATTATATAACCTGATAATGCCAGGACCTTCGAAGTACTACACGCCGTACCAAAAGCGTATTTTTTAACGAGAAAAATACAAATCCTACCAATTAAAAAGGCCAAGGTAAATCACTTCGCATTTATGCCGCTCTACCTTCTAAAGTAATAAAATTTCCAAATCTTATGCATATTCCAATATAAGAGCCATACTTATCAAAGATCTGTTGTTATTCATTTCCACTGTTTCTTATAGTCTATTCATTCAGACGAATAGAGAATTAGAGTCCTCACTCGATAGAGTCTATAATACAGGGTATCCAGGGACTTCAAAATACTGCTCAAAGCTACCTCCAAACAGGAAGTAGATGGCTTCGTTCTCGGTAAGTGTTTTTGCAGAGGGTCATGAGTGGCAATTTTCAACATCTCGTACTTTATCAGCTTTTGTGTTTGAGTGACGAAAACATCGCTTGCTTGCTGCAAATAGATATATTCTGGGCTATGTGTACTTACAGTGGAAGGCCAGCCGCTGTGCTTAAAGTTATTCTCTATTTTATGGTTGCTGGATTATTAGAGATATTTTTTCTGCCACAACCTAGGTCTAACGTTGTAGATGTGTAATTAAGTATTCTTGCGACTGTTCGTAAAAATTTAGAATGGGTAAGTTTTTACCGGTAGACGCTAGATTAATAATGCTGCGTGAGATTCTCAGGGAATATATTTGTAGCTGACCTGCCCAATAGACATTATTTTGTGATGATAGAGATTAATAAATTTATCGTTTGCCTGTATCAAATTCTCTGTGATATTACGCCTTGCTGAAGACATTGATTAACTTTTATCTATGGAATTTTGATTGCTGGCCCGAAAATATCATTTGTATTTGCTTGTTGTGTTTCTTCTGCCAATTTTCTTTTTTTCATAGCCTTGGCGCCATATCCATAATCTCCCTCTCTTTTAGCTCTCTGTAAGCCGACGAGATCCATTTTTTCAGGATTCCTACACTTTTTTAGCTTTTTGGCCAGGCCTTGTAGCTCTTTTCGTTCAAGCGTTGATGGTTCAGAATGTGGATCTATTGCCTTCAACATGCCAGCACACTTTTCGATCGTATTAAGTACTTTAGACAGTAGATTTTGCATCTCTTGACCAGGAAATTTAAGCTTAATGTACCATTTCGTTAACTCTTCATCGGAAATCATTAAAGTTGACACCATTATTTGGCTAGGCGTAAAATGAAAATATACATCTGTTAGCAAGGTGCTTGACTTCAGGTAGTCTCTAGCTTTTTTGTGCGCGTCTTTGATACGTCTTTCCATGTTTATAGGCTTCTTGCTAGTCATACTAGAGTCACCAGGAAGTGCAGGCGTTCCCATTTTCGAGATAGCCTGTAGCTCCATAATTGCCCCCTCTAGTGCTCGGTAGGGATGGCGTACATCAAAAGTAAATCGTAATCCCTGGGTTAGCAGAAATTCTGATGCTAAAACATCTTCTGGTGTCGTTTTTCCAATGGCGTCGGCAAACTTTGTAAGTCGAAAGTAAAAGTTTTCGGTTTTTGTGGCGAAGAAAAGAGCTGTCTTGAGAATATCGGCCGGGTGGTAGGTCATTAGAGAGTTGGTAATGTAGAATCGTTTTATATATTGTATTGCAGTGGCCTCATCATTCGTAAGGAATCAGCATCAAGCCGTAAAAAAGCAAGATTTGAGTTGTATTTACCTTTACATCAGAAGGTAAGCCTAAATGGTCACCCAACTGAATTGTCTGTCGGCAGTAAAAAACAACTAATTTAAGTTCTTCCTCAACAGTCAAGCAATCAATTTCTTCTTCCAGAACAGAATTATTGCTTACAGAATTTTTCTGAACAATAGCTCCTTCAGTGGTCAAGTTCTGATTGGTACGAGACCTCGTAACTGCCTCACGAACGCGCTCAGCTGCGACCCTGTTTGTGTTTGAACGCAATTCGAGAAGAGCCTCTGATGTAAATGACCATAGCTTGTACTGGGTTGACATTTGATATCGCTCATCTTCAGAGACGAGGCTACTTGCTGCCATTTCAACCAATGATATAGAATTCCGTGTTGAGAGATTATATCGTTGTCTCGCTTTTACACCAACTCAAACGCCCTGCAGCCACCCTCCTGAGTTAACCGAACGATTGCGAAGATGCATCTACAGACCCTCTCTCGTTCAACCAGACGTGCTCCTCTATCATTCCCTCTATTGTCCGAATCTAGAGCTCCTATCGCCACAAATTATCATGCCAATAACTTTACACGATGTAGGATAAGCCAGGAGATAGATGACTGGCCTCTAGCGGGGAAGCATTATGAGCCCGGAGGTCGATTAACCCGTACTCCCGACAGCTCCTACGAGAACTACAATGGAAACAAAATGGGAATATACGGGTCATGGGGTATCTCCCTCTCACTTAAGAAACATATACACCCTATACGATTGTTAGGAAAGTTTCTACCTCAAGGAAATCTCCACTGACTCAGACAGATCGAACCTGTGGCTAAGGTTGGGAACCGCTCCTAAATGTTTAGGAATAAGTTTCATTGAATGATATGGTAGAGATAACTGCCGATGCCAAAAATGTTTGAGCCCTCAAACAATGCAGAGAGCGTTCGATACATTCTCAGTAGGATATTCACATCAATAAACAACAAATAAATTAGGCCTAATATTAATTCTAGCTTCCTAATGAAATCGTTCCAGATGAAGTTTCCACAGAAAAGGAAGGGCTGAGGATTCTCTGTCAGTAATCACGGCCCATCTCTATGTTCTTAGCTGACCAATAATTCAAGGGCCAGCCTCAGATGGCGATAGGCACGTCAGCTTCTACACCTGGGATTGGATCACCAAAAACGTATCTAGTTTCCAAAGTAAACAGGATTCAAAGTCAAGCTTGTGTGATATATTATTTAAGATTCACAAAGTATCAATGCTTATTATACACAGGTATTCGCTCTGGACCTCTGAAATCGAGTCAGATCCACCTACAGTTCATCATGATGAGATTATGGCCGATGATCAAGGTGTTGGAAAATGGACAGCTAAGATCGTAAGCAGCATTGGCTATATTGATTGCAATGTGTAACTCTACTCTACAGCGAAAATTCGGGTTCTGTTATGTAGAGAAATGTCCAGTTTCACCTGAAAAAACAAAGAGGCTTATAGAACGCATCTCTTTCATAAGAGAAACTCACTATGGTAATCATCTTTGCTAATAAATCTTTTGCCTGTGCTAAATCCACTGATTCAACTAGGTGGCTTCTATGAATTCACATCGAATCTTGCCATCAAAGACACGGCATATACAAATTTAGCCCTTCCACTTCATACCGACACAACCTATTTCACAGACCCGGCAGGCCTTCAAATGTTTCATCTTCTCTCACATGAACATGGGCAGGGTGGTATCTCAGTACTCGTTGATGGCTTTAAGGCAGCGCAAATGCTTAAGCTCCAAAGTCCTGCAGAATATAAAATTCTTACTCAGCAACCGGTTCATGCGCACACTATCGGTAACGAAGGTTGCACGATCAAGCCAGCGAAACCGTTCCCGGTCTTAAACGTAGCCGACTCAGCTGATGGAGTGGAGCCGGAGTTGTACCAAATAAGGTGGAATAACGAGGACCGTGGACTCGTTTCTCTAACAAAAGGAAATTCTGAGGATGTAGATCTTTGGTACTCCGCAGCGCGTAACTTCCACAGTCTTATTAATAAGATTAGTATGCAATACAGGGTACAGCTAGAACCCGGAAGACCATTAAGTAAGTGAAGCACCAACAATAAACGCCGTACCTATAATCACAAGCTGACCAACAAGTATTTGATAATTGGCGGGTCCTACACGGGAGAACATCTTTCACCGGAAGACGAAAGATGTGTGGTGCATACAGTAAGACTCAGTGTTTTCTCAATCAACGCAATGTCCTAACTTATGTTCAAGTTAATCATGATGATTACATCTCGCGCTGGCGAAATACTAATTTTACGCGGGACCAGATTCATGATGAAATTCTCTGATAATTTCTTGCTATTTAGGGTCGATCCTTCTAGAGTCTCTACCTATTTTCAACTTCAAGTAGGACCGAAAGTGTTCTGCTCGCTGTGGATTTTTGTAGAATTCTTGCCTGAATTCAAGCATAATTTTTAATAAAAGCTTCCATAGACAAAACTTATATTCTCATACCATCTCAATTAGCTTACGGGTACAAAACAATCCAACTTAGATAATGCAGTAGCTATAGTCTAGAGCCTTGCTAATAAGTCATACAAGATTGGAGACTCATTTACCAGACCTTTGTATCAGGCAGTGGAGGGTTTAATTCAGAACAGGGCAATACTTCAGAATTATTTTAAATTCAATGTGTATCCAGGTATCTAGCTATGACATATTTTTATGAACCATTCCAACTCCCTATTTCCAATCAAACTTTCAACACTTAAAATTAGCAGACAGTTTGCAGATTAAGTATCCCAATTAGATTCCCTCTAAGTGCTGCTATTTACTTGGATTTGTCCAAATGTTTTCTTATTAATTTGTGACCTTAATTGGCTCAATCCCCTATTATGACTAGATCATAAAGGTTCTCTAGCTACCTTCAGTCAGAAAGATCGCCCTTTGTAATAGTATTAGTAATACAGTTCGGAATCGTGATATCGATGTTCATTTTACAGATATTCGCCTCATGACGATGTCTTCGCGCACTCATTACGTCCTCATAGTAAGTTAAAAAAATAACGATATTCTGTAGACCGAAGCTGCCGTCGCCACTTTATGGTTGTATCGAATAACTGTCACATGATGTAGCGACTGTCATTGGCTGAAGCCTGTTTATCATTAGTTAGGTGCCTGGATATAAAGGCATAGATTACTGTTTCTTAGTTATTATTAATTCATTTTATTGTCCTGTCTGAGTCTATGACTATGTAGGACATGCAGGTCCTCTCTACCTACAGGCCAAGGATACCTATGCCAGTAGTATATCCCCTCCTTTGTCTCCCATAAAGCTCCCATCGAACAGTACCACCCCTCACAAGTCCTCATTCGATCAGACACTTAGAGGAGCCCTTCGTTCTTCAATATCTATTCTCTCCAGCCAACGAAACGATGACCATTTGCAGGTGTATGGCAGCTGGGAAAAATCGCAAAAACTACTAGGTGCGGGGCTCTTCTAATACCGACATTGGGACTAAATCCGAAGACATATTGATCCTTCTGAAGCGTTCGAAGAGGCCGGCCAGCTGGGCGCTGCAGACTTGTAGGTACCTCGGGAAATTTACACTCTGCCTTTCTAGCCTCCTTCCAATTCCTTCCCGAAGGTAGGGCTGAAATGTCAGAAAAGTCTTGATAGAGTGTGATTGCTGTGTAGTAGCTTAGCCCCATTTCTTTTGTGCCGTCCAGGGCGCTGGGGAGTGCCGTTGACTCATCGACAGAAGAAGCCCTCCTGTCTAATTAGCCGAAATCTTGGTCGTTACGCCCACAAAATATACAAAGTTGAAAACTCCTCGAAAATATCAGTCCCAGCAGGCTCTTCAGAGACCTGTTCCACCTCTCGCTCCACACCTCAGCTGCCTGTTCTTGCTCAAGTTGTTTGTCCCATTAGAGCAACAGCCCCCCCCATAAGCCAAGACCCAGGCTTTGTATTTTTCGAATTGATTTCTCCTTGCAGGTATAAATAGAGTCGTCAATATATAGTGAGAGATGGCTGGAGATTAATGGGGCAAGCTCCTGTATACAATTGGAGCCACTTCTTTATTGGTCATTGAGGCGAGATGATGCGTGGTTAGAGATGGCTCGAGGACTCTGATGATAATGATGAGAGGCATTGTCGAGAAGTTGTCAAATGGAGATGTGTTTGAGGTTGCTTTCGACTTCGGTTCGGATGCGATTCTTCTTAGCTTTCCCAGGTATTCAAAGTACATCGAGCGATTTTTTTTTTTTGCATCAGATTTTAATTGCGTATGCAGCTATCTAGCTATGACACAATATCAAAGAAAAGTACAGAATAGATGATTCATCGTTAAGGAAGAGCACTCATGCCTCAGATTTCATTTGCAAGTACCACTGCGAAGTTATGGTGGCTTTTTCTTCACCCCAAGTCAACCCTCATCCGTGAATACCCACCCAGGGGAACGTCTCAAAAATCCTGAGTTATCCAGACATGCCTCCATCATCTTTCAACTTTCCTTCGCGCGAAATATGATCTGAGATATCTCCTTCCCAAGTGGAGTAGGTGCCCAGGCTACTCAAACTATACCGGAGAACACCACCAGGAGGCGGACCACAACACCTTCCATCGTTTGCTTGTTTTTATAGTGTCAACTGCACTCTCGCAAGCGAAGTCTTGGCGCGCACAAAGCCCAATTCGAAAAACTCCTTGCCAAAATTCGGAATCTCATGCCCTTCGAGGTTATATCCACCCTTCGCATCATCTTGTCAACTTGTCCAGATCCCTCTCACATCCATCCCAAAGAACTGTCTCCCAGATTTGTGCGCCACGCCTTGCATCCTCCGGCGGGTATAAATATCGGCGTGGGCGTGTATTTGGTGACCAGCTGAGGCCAGAGAAGGTCGAAGAGTGGTGTGGTCATTGGAATGAGGATGTACTTGGTCGTACTTGTAGACTCGATGAGACGAAGATAGGGGTCAAACTCGTTGGGAGCGAAATAACGAAGTGGATGAGTAATTTGGATGTTTGCCTCGTGGGCCAACTTCTTTGATATTGCGAAATTTGACTGAACTTGGCTCTGGGAGAATATTTCACTCCCAGGTTCGTAGAGGACACCGCGTACAGGTGTTCAGTCTTGCCCTCCACATCGAGCGATTACACTGGCACCACTTGAAAGGTTTAGATTTTGTCTTTGTTGGCTGCTAGCGTAGTGAATACAGCTGCTAGATCTCTAATCCTTGTTCTGGTAGTCAATACTCGATAGACTTTACGCGCCAGATTAATTATGCCCCTGTAAGTGACTAACGCGCTAACAAAAAAGCAGCAGAACAAGACAGCAATTCAGTTTATCAGATTTGTTATGTATGATAATGTCTTCAAAACCTCTCAAAAGGAAGCCTAGCACCGAAATCCTGTATGAATCTGACAGCATAACTCATGGTAAAAAATTTGCCTCCAGTGCCAGTACGTTTCACAGCTCATCTAGGCCTCGACTAAACTCTGTCAAGGTGTTTCTTACAGAAACGGCAATGAATTAAAACGCCAAAATACACTGCAAACTTCTTACGAGACGTCCGAAAATGATTCTAATGCAGAAACACCCATCATGCTCTCATCCACACGGAAAAAAAGATCATCGTTATTCAAGTATTTCAACTGTACTTTTGAAGGATGCAGTAAGGCATTTAACCGACAGGCAAGGTTAGCAGCTCATCTGAGATCTCACTCAAATGAGCGTCCGTTTGTTTGTACAAAAGATGGATGCCAAAAAGCTTACATGCAAGAAAAGCATCTTAAACACCACGTTAAAAGCTTTCATACGCAAGAGCGTGATTTTCACTGTGACTGGGAAGGTTGTGATAAGAGTTTCCTCACTTCATCACGATTAAATAGACATATCGAAGCACACCAAGGAAGAGAACGATATAAATGTGTTGAATTTCCACCCTGCAACCAAACTTTCCGCAAACATCAGACCCTTCAGCGTCATGTTCGCGCAGAACATCTTCACCTCTCACCCTTTCCCTGCACATTCGTAGATCCTATCACGAAGGAAAGTTGTAACCTTGGGTTTGAAGGCCCCAGTGGTCTCCGTCGACATCAAGAATGCGCTCATGGTACCGCAAGATACTTTTGTACCGAATGCACTCTATCTGGAAGCTTCAACACAGATGGAACACCAATTCATCCGGGTTTCTCTAGTTATCGTAAGCTTGAAGCCCATATTCGAAAGGAGCATGCGAACTGCATATTCTGTGACATCAAATGTCGAAGTCAACGTGAATTGCTAGCTCATATTGATAGTCAACATTCTGGAAAGAGCATACAAGAGCGTCGAAAGTATCCGTGCAATGAACCTGGGTGTGACAAAAGGTTCACTACCAAATATAATCTGAATGCGCATATTCGGTCTGCTCATTTGGGAAACCGTTTTATATGTGGCACTTTTCATGTCGATACACACCCGAATATTCCCGGATGGACTGATTCAAATGGATGTGGATGTGACTTTATTTCGAAGCAAAGTCTCATCGATCACATCCGCTATACCCACCTCAAACTAAAACGTAAAACTGGCCATAATGTTACCATCGAACCCAATCTAGAATTTAAAGAAAGCGATGTGATAAATAATTTAGAGGATCTTTATTCAAACTTGAATACGGATACCCAATTTAATGGTTCAATTCAAAATAATGCTACGAATTTAATAGAGCCTACCGAATGTACATCTTCAACCTTCTCTTATCATGATACAGGCTATAATAATTGCCCCATCAAGACTAGTGACCCCCAGGCTTGTATGGAAAATATTTCAACCGTGGATAAATTCACAAATTATAAAGAAATAATCCCTCAGGACCTAGAATTATTAATCCAGATCGAACCAGATACCCCATTTGAATTCGAAGATACATTTCCGACCTATCTGAAAGAACCTCAGAGTAAATATAGAGAGGAGAACTATAAATGTGAAAGGGAACAAAATACTCTATGGAATGATCTATTTCCTTTTATCAGGGACTAATCTTAGGATAAACCCCGTTGAAACCCGCAAAAGAACGAGCATATTAGACTGTTTATGTTGAATTGAACTTTCAAAAGCTGTTAACAAATATGGACAAATGTCCATTATTTATGGAATTATTGGACATAAGTTATGCAATGTAAAGACTTATGTGAGTTCCTGTGAAAATTTTATAATCAAGATTTGGCTAGCTTTTGTTATGATAATAAGATTATACCAATCGGAGATTTTCTCTGTACAATTTAGTCACAGGGTTCCGGCAATGGCGACACTCGGTGTGCGCGGTTGAAAAAAATCGTCTCCTTTGGTTACTTTCTCAGAAGTACATGTAAACCTCATCGAAGTTGGGAAAAGCTTAAAAAGTTTTCCTGATTTGGGATATTGTATCTATTGAAGGGTGGTGATGTATATGGTTGTATACACTTGGTATCTTCAATTAAATGGTTATGACTACTGAGGGGGCTTAGAATATACTTGGGTGATTATGGCAATAAATGTTACGGGATGCGAATGGTATCTTATTGTGTTATTATATTATGTTATGTTACAGGTTATGTTCATGATAATTAACCAATCCCACATACTTCCAGATAGCGCCGTAGCTAGTCTCTTTTAGGAGTGATCTACGGGTGAATGTAGCGATCGGTGGTATCTAATTTATCAATAACCTGTTTCCATTTCCCTGGCTCTGCGTGCTACACTACGTGTATGACGATTTACTACTAATGTGAAAAGCGCATTCATGACAGTATCAAACTTGAACATCAAATCAAATAAAATTAAAGGTCTCATACGTGCAGACTACAAGGCGGCACTAACCCTGCTTCATGAACTTAAAACCAGATGGCGCTCATTTTGCGCGTATTTTCATTGCTTCACTTTCATGCCAGCTTAAAGTTTTCTGGTTCCGACACTCATTCCTTGCAGCTATAAAGATTTACTTACGATATAATCTTTAATACACTAAGAAGCATCTTTTTTTAACATTTAAGCTATGTGAGAATATAATTTGGCGCGCGATGAAAATAGAACTACAGGCTGGCGAGGGGACGAATATGAGCCCAAGGAACGGACAGAATACTAGACCGAGCTCTAAGGATTGTAGCAAAATTCTAGTCAAATCATAAAACATCCTCAATGCCTGCCTCCCAAAGGCATACCATACGACATAGCTCAAAAATTCTACCAGTCTTGTTCGGAGAAATCCCTAGAAAATCAAATACCATACTCCCAAAATCGGCAGATCGATTGAATTTCTTAATACCATAGGAAAGTTCCTGGAAAATCTAGTAGCTCACCATCTTTTAAAGCCAGCTGAATACTTTAATCTTCCTCCCGAAGAGCAGATGAAAGCTAGTCTACAGAGGTCTACAATTTCTGTCGTGAAGCATCTGGTAAAGTAAATTTACATAATTTGGGGCAAAGGCAAAAAGCGAGTGGAGTCGATTCTAAGCCTTGATATATCAGGGGCTTTCGGAAACGTATCCTACTAAAGTTAACTTCACATCCCTGAGAAAAAAAGAATACCAAAGTATGTAAGTGTTGTGATTGATGACATAACTACCCCTGCATCTGGTGATTGTGGATCACAGAGATGCAGAATCAGATGGTCGAAACAGAATAGACTGGAGTCAAATAGAATAGAACAGGATGAAACAGAATGTGATGACTCAGTTGAATGGAACTGAGCGACTGGGGATATGGAAAGCCATAGAATGTGGTATATGTATATAAAAGTAGTGATTCTCTAAACTTGAATGGGAGTAAGCAGGTCTACTACTTCATTACAATATACCTCTATCTACAAGTTTCAGTGAACGTGCAGTTATTTACCGGTAACTGTTCCACCTCCCATAACCTTACATTTATAACAATAAGACATCACTTGAAGTCATTTCTATGAGAAAGGATGATTCCTATAATCTTGGGAATCTTTAAGGGTGACCAAGTATTTACCATCAAGGGGATATATCAATGTTCCTCCGAACGGTTGAGACTGCAACATCAGGCACCATCAAGCAGCAACTCATACTGCCCCAAAAAAACGCAATCCATCACATCGCTTTCCACCTACGACATTTTACTGACAAATTCATCTCTCAATCACCCATGCCGCCCCAGTCCTCCGCAGAGGCTGGCCCCTGGCCCCCCCTCCCCACTCAATGTTCGACGCGTCAAGACGTCGAAATGGTCCTTAACGGGCCACAACCGCCATCACAACCACCCACCCAACAATTTGTAGAGCCAATCTACGAGGCGAGTCATCGAAGCTCGCCCCATCAACAAACTCCGTCGCCTCAAATTGTCGCGACCGAATTCCTCGCCGAACAGGGCAGGATATTCCAGACGCGCTCTGCACAAGCAGAGCGTTTCATCATCGGGTTCTGCAAGCTGCTGGAACCAGTCACTGACGAGAGACTTCGAAAACTCTTTGATCAGGACTTACTGGCCCTTCAGGGCAAGATACTGGAAATTTTATGGGGCAACCCATCTCAAGCAGACGCCAACGCTCCCCCAAAGGCTGCAAGCGGCCATACTAACACATCTAACCCGGCTCAAGTCACAGAGCCTCCAAAACAAAGTCCTGCAAGCGTCACACGTCCAGTGCTGATCCTTGCCAGAGAAAAGAATAGACCGGCACCACAAAGGCCGGTAACCACAACCGCAACTCTCCAGCCCAACCAGGGCTCAAACAAAACCAACAACAACGCTACAGAGAAATCTTGGACCGAGGTGTTGGGAAAAAGAAACAAGCCAGCAAACCAAGTGGCTCCAACTTCAACACCTAAGACAGTGCCAGTGAGGCCCGTTTCCGCGCCGAAGCCTAAAGCTCCAGTAACAAACCCCCAGCGACCTGACAAGCGCGTATTTTTGCGCCTCAAACCTGACCACCCGTGGAGACGTATGTCACCCTACTTCGTAAAGATTAGCCTAGCTAGCAAGCTGCGTCTGGCCAACTCGACAATCAAACAGGTCACTGTCGTGAACTCAGGGTTCGCAATACAAGCCGAAGGGGAAGGAGCTAGAGGTGCACTTCTCTCAGGAGGAGCCATATTAGATAGCTCAGAAATGAAATTCGAAGCCGCCTCCAACTGGATATCAGTCCTGGCACCGAATATCCCAGACAAGCTTTACACTCTGGAAGGGCCCACCATAGTGACACCAGAGATGGTAATAGAAGAAGCAGCTCTCAAAACAGGAGTTAGACCAACCTCAGCTCGTGCTTTCGCTACTAGCATGGCCAGGCCATCAACGGACTGGGTGTTGCACTTCGCAACAGGAAAACCGAAACTTGGAGAAAGACTGTTTGAAGAAAGCGGGCGCCTTCACGAACTCCAGCGCAAGCTCAAAATTGCGCAATGCAACCGATGCTGGGGACATCACCCAATTAAAATTTGTTCACGAGCAGAGCGCTGCACCCGCTGTGGCTCAATTGAGCACAAAGCTACAGAGTGCAAACAGGCCGTACCAAGGTGCATCAATTGGCACGGGCCACATGCTGCGACTGAGCCTAACTGTATGGCTAGGCCGACTCGGGCTGGTGGGAAGACGGTGCAACGCACAAGGGACCAGCTGTCGGTGATCCGCGAGCAGGGTCAAAAAGAAAGGAATGCTTCGATCAGAGAGATGGAAGCAAAGCAGAAAGCCACCGAGGCTACTGCTGAAAACGAAAACACAAACGTTGCTCAATGCCCGTAAGGGACCACAACCCAACCGAGCTTCAAAAAACGGCAACAACAATCTCGTTCCTCTGCGCTAATCTGGGCAGAGGAGACCCGGCTACGGACATCATCCTGCAATCCGCTTGGGATTCAGGAACCGATGTCCTACTCATCCAGGAACCCTGGACTAAACACAAGGACAGCTTCTGGCTCACCAAGTCGCACCCCGGATTCGATAGGCATTTGCCTCCCCGTGTCGCTGTTAACTCTTCAAGGCCACGCTCCCTCATCTACACGCGAAAAGGGATCCATTGCCAACAGCAAGCAATCTGCGAGACATCACCAGATCTCACTGCAGTAAAGGTAGAAGGAGTCACATTTGTCTCCGTATACCGCGCTCCTGGAGCAGACCTTTTGCCGCTGCTATCATGGGCTCCATCTGGGCCTACAGTTATTGGCGGAGATTTCAATGCTGTTCACAACGACTGGCAGCCAATGGCTACTAGGCTACACGGTGACGGCCAGGTGCTCACCGAGTGGATGTTCGAGCACGGTATGGACCTATCTTCCACACCGGGCGTCCCGACACACGACTTTGGAAACACACTCGACCTGGTCTGGTCTAACGCTGGTGCCCTTGCAGATGTCTCGACAGAGCTTGACTCAACATCGGACCACAGAACGCTTGCAGGAGACGTTCCCCGCCCGAACTCGAAAGCCATAGCGGTTATCAAAACTGGTCAACCGGTACGAGTGACAGACGACGCCCTCGAAGACTTCGCCAAGGTACTAGGTAGGTGGGCCCATGGAATAGGGATGCAGCCTATGGTCTCAACAAGTGCGGTGGACAACCTTGCGGATAAACTGGTTCAAACCATCAGCGATGCTATCAGGGCTACCGGAAGACGCGGGAGCACGAAGAAGGGTAGGACGGCACCTTGGTGGACGTTGGAATGCTCACAGGCCAAACGCAAATATAGGATATTCAGGGACGAAGAGAGTAGAAAGGATTTCCGTCGCATAGTCAGAAGTGCGAAACGCCAATACTGGCGGCGAAAGTTCTCGGAAGCTACAACAGACATCGACATGTATCGGATGGCACGCTGGGCAAAGCCGCAACCTACATCTGCCGCTCCGCCACTCCAAACTCCGGATGGTTTTGTTTCGGATCCAGGAAAGCGTGCACTTCTATTGCGCGATCTCCTTCTCGGCCGGTTCACCAGCCAAAACGACGTGGATATCGAACACCTCGAGCCAGGACGCGAAAACCTTCCATGGGCCTCAAGCGTCACTGATGAAGAAGTCAAGTGGGTCACAACGGCCTGCCAGAATAAAGCT